TAAAGTAGCAATTTATCCTTATGATTTAGTACATGTAGTTTAAAATTTGTAACATTTTAGTCCCTATCATAAGAAATTTTATTAAAATTATTAAACATCAAATTTTATCATATAACAATTTAATCTTTCTAATTTTAAACATATTTGGTTCCTCCTTAGTTTATCAATATATATATATATATAAGAAACTTAACAATAACAAAAAAATCACGATAGGGACTAAATCGTTACCAACTTTAAATTACAATGACTAATTAAATTGTTACATATTAAAGTTCAAGGACTAAATTGTTATTAATTTGAAAGTACAATGACTAAATCGTTAAGAACTAAAGTTTAGGGACCAAATTGTTACTTTAACGAAATTACACGACAAAAGTGTTTTTTAACCTAAATTTATTCATTCTTTTAATATAATAAAATAAAACTAAAAGTTTCACATAGCAATGTCAGTGAACTGATTGAATATATAAGGAGAGGGCCAAAGTAGAAAAATTCTAATTGTTCCGTCTTTATTTTGCTTTCAACTCTTGAAAATTAAAAGAAAATTAAAAATTAAAAATTAAAAATATATATATTTAGATACTATTTTTTCAAATTAGTTTTTAAAATTTTGGTGGGGATTTCTAAAATTTTTTTAGAAAAGTTGATTGTGAAACAAAAATAAAACTTATTAAAACAAAAAAAGATAGAATGATTATTTAAGTTCCTAAGATTTTCAAAATAATTTTTAAATAGAAAACAAATTTAGTTTGCAAAAAATAAAATGCAAAAGGCTCATGTGATATGGCTAAATTTGGAACCTTTTTTAACACAAGATCAATATTATCACAATTTGTACAAAAAAAGTCAATCAAAATTTTAAGAAAATTCAAACAGTGATGATTTTACATCTTTACCCTTATTCTATTTTTAAACCTCACCTAAAAAAGTTTAATTTGGAATTTATTAGATTTCAAAAGTGCTATTAAAAAAATTGAAAAACTAACCTAACTTAGGTAAATAAATATTACAAAGCTTAATTTTTAGTAAATAGAAAACCAAAACTAAAATTGTCACTAAAGTTTTGTCAAGAAACTAGGTAATTAATTCTTTATAACATAGATCAAAATTCCAAAAAAAAAAAAAAAAAGTTAAAAAGAAAAGAAAAAAATTACCATCGACTAATATTAAATTTATTTCCACCAAATCCATATATATTTATGCAAGATCGAAGACGCGATTCACACATGTCTATTTTTTTCTTTAAGATCGCGAGCGAAACTTAGCCATTAATAATAATGCAATTTATTCGTCCTACGAAATCACATGATAAAAATTATACATATCTCAAGAGCATCCAAAATGAAAATAAATGGGGCCACTTGTTTGATTTAGTTTGCATGAGAGGTGATAGACCAAAAACTGAATTTGCACATGACAATAATGAATAAAAACCTAACAAATTTCATACAATTATATGTTCCCCTTTGTCAACTCTCTTTTTCTTTTCTTTTTTCTTCTCCAACTTTGAATCTAAACCAAATTCTCTTACTTTTTTTTCTACACCATTTTCCTCTCAAACACAGACAAGACAACAATACCCATCCTCTCATCTTGTTCATACCCTATATTATTTTGTTTACTTAGCTTCCACATCTGCCAATGACTTTATACCAATTCTCGAAAGTGTGGAAGTTGGAATCTCTGACTTCAAAGAGAGTAGTAGATGTTAATTACTGTTGAACTATGCTCGTGTTGGCAACACAATACTTTTTTCAGAGTAAAAAAATGTTCGAATCCCTATTCCGATATCGGAAGAATACTTGATTGTCGATTTATTATATTATATTATATTATATTATATTATATATATTCACACCCACATGATGCACAAAATTGACTTTGGAAGAATGGAATTGAGATAGAGTTAAGTGGGCCCATAAGTGAGGCCCAATGGATGAAGTTGGCTCCTTCGGATACCTGCAGTTTCAGAGCTTCCGACAAAACCCACCTCCTCAAACTCAGCCCATGCTTTATTAAATCACCGGTGGGCCCATCTTCTCCCAATTTTTTTCTCTCTTTTTTATTTAATATTACATCACAGATAAAATGACCAAGATCGAACCTACCATCTCTGATGGAGAGGAACAAATGTCTTGCTACTCGAGCCATGTTTAGGTCAAACCTACGGGTCAATATTTTTCTTTCAAAGATTTTAGCAAAAATAAAATAGTATTTCTTTTAATACAACCTGTGGGGTGGGAATTTGAACTCATGACCTTTTGATCGGAGATAGGTATTTTAACCAATTGAGCTATATTCAGATGGGCCAATATACTTAACATTGGAAGTCAAAATTATTGGCATTGAATCACATGAAATTCGATCAACAATCCACTCAAAATCAAGCTATAGAAATACCCACACCTATAAAAATAGCCACAAAATCAAATATATATAAAAAGAAACTCTAAAGTTCAGGTTATTTTTATAGATGTTTAGACTTAAGTACCAAATTAATTTGATCAATCATCAAATTAAATATGTTCTTTAAAGTAACGGAAGATTTAAACATGAATATAACTTAATGATTAAGAATATACATATATATATTGTGATGTAATATTCAAAAAAGAATTAGATTTTAGATAATAAGTTATTAATGTAATTAAGGATTGGCTAAAGGGTATTTTCATCACAATACCTTTTTTTTCCGAACGAGTCAGATTAATCCATTTCAAGTTTTACTATAACTACAAATATTATTTTCTAAATTTGCAATAAGCAGCTCTTGTCTTTCTTTTTTACTAAATCTTTAAAATATGAACTTAAATATTCTTTTTCT